CCCTACTTTGGTATATGCCCTATGTGATGGATAGGCTACTTATGCTTAAAGTTGTAGTGTTAAAAATCAGCCAGGGGTTGAACCTGAGACCTTCAGCATGTCAACCATAAGCCTTTCCTAGATTACAGCTCCTTCCCTTTATTCAGCCACTTGTGCTTAAGATGGCATCCACAATTTATTGCTTCAAGTTAACTGGACAGAACTTAAGAGTGGAGCAGAACAGATCTAAAAACACCTTAGTCTCAGCACCCAGTGATTTTATATAACCTCTTTTCTGACTCTTCCCTTGTGGATTTTTTCATCCCTTTCCAAAAGGAAAAGGTACAATCTAGCTGTGGGTTCCCCAATCTGTCTCTCCTAGGTTCAGCTCTCTGGCCAAGGTGTCACCTTGGCAACAATTTGTCTTCCTCCTGCCAGAGCCATCTGCATATCTGCCTGTGAAGCTGACTCCTTGCCCAGTAGGCTCCTCCATTATTGTTAACCTGTAGAAAGGCACTTTGAACATCTAAAGAGTGTGTGGGGCTTTTCCATTCTATGATGAGTCCTGTAAAATAAGTGGGCGGATATTTTTCTTCCTTCTCATAATACTTAAATTTGAAGATCATGCAGTGAAAACAATGACCAATGATTTAAGACGGATAAAAAACCCCTACACCTTCACACACGTTTCTTAAATACTTATGCACACTGCAATTCCTATTCAGTTTGATAAGGATGGACTCGCACAGTCCTATTCCTTGCGTGATAAGCACATGGAGCCTACTTATTTAAAAATCTCCATCATTCATTGGCAACCTGTTAATGTCCTCACCCTTCAGTGGTGAGGAAAACCTTATGAACACTGTCAGTTCCTGGAAGTAACAAATACAAAACAGATAAGGAATGGGTTGGATCTTATGGCTGTCTTAGTGGAGGTATTTTCTGCTAACAGAACATGCTTTCCTCTGATGCAAGATAGTAGTTTGATGGTACTTGGGATCCAACCCCATCTATTTTGTTGAATAATCCAATTGAAAATTCTGTGCAACAAAACTGCACAACCAACAAGAGTCAAAGTCTTTATTAATATGGTCATAGACCAGCACAAGTCTCAGCAAGCACAGCCAATAAAATTACTACCTAGTTTGTATTTCAGACTAATCCATATCTTTCTATCACTTGTATAACAGAAAAGCAACATTAATTTATGTTTAAACAAGTAACAATAATAATAAACGTCTTGTTCCAAGTGTGTGTGTGTGCGTGTGTGTGTGTGTGTGTGTGAGTGAGAGAGAGAGAGAGGTGGGGCGGGGGGGGGAGTGAAGGGGAGAGAGAGAGAGAGAGAGAGAGAGAGAGAATGTGGTGTGTAACATACACATGCACTTAGATCATTTCTAGCTTTTTTTTTTGTTAGGGGAAGCTTTAAAAAAAATTCTTTCCAAACTTTTCACATTGGGCTTGCATTCAGTTTGAAGTTTTGGTTCATAATCTATTTGCACTTAATAGACTACTTGTCACAGACACAGAATCTTCAATGTCACCGCTGTTGTATGAATTGCTATAGGGAAAACCAAAGAGAATCGGTCCTGACATCCTTCTCTCTCCATACATGTTGGTGCCAATCAATGCAAGAGAAACAGCTCAAAGACAGCAAGAACATACTAGTGACAATTTAAAGGACTGAAAAACACAATCTGTCAAATGGTGCCAGCTTGGGATGTGGGAGAGCATGCTTTGCATCTGATCCCAAGTCTAGCAATGGATGGGCATTCTGATTAACTTTCCATCCTTGAAAAATACAAAATCAGGAGTTTTTGTAAGTTTCCCTTCACAAGCAATCCCTTCTTCCAGTCCCCAACCAGGCAGCACTTTCAACAGTGGTCCCTGCCATTGTTCACTGTGGCCCCATCATTGCCGGCAGCCTAAACACTAAGCACAGTGAGGTGCCACCAGTATTGCTTCTGCTCAACTGTCTTTGCTCTTCAATAGAATTCTAAGGATCAGAAGGAAGGGCAGGGGAAAAATCAGCTAGCACGATGGTCACATTCACAGTGTGATACCTACTCCTATGGCTTCCGGGAATTATTCTGCACTACCTTCTAAAATGACATCGTCATCACCAGCAAGTGG